CAATTCTGAGTTTATATCTCAATTCTGAGATTATATCTCACAATTCTGAGTCTATATCGCAATTCTGAGTTTATATCTCGCAATTCTGAGTTTGTATCTCGCAATTCTGAGTTTATATCTCACAATTCGGAGTTTATATCTCGCAGTTCTGAGTTTATATCGCAATTCTGAGTTTACATCGCAATTCTGAGTTTATATCTCAATTCTAAGTCTATATCGCAATTCTGAGTTTATATCTCGCAATTCTGAGATTGTATCTCACAATTCTGAGTTTATATCTCACAATTCGGAGTTTATATCTCGCAGTTCTGAGTTTATATCGCAATTCTGATTTATATCTCAATTCTGAGTTTATTTCTCACAATTCTGAGTTTATTTCTCGCAATTCTGAGTTTATATCGCAATTCTGAGTTTATATCTCGCAATTCTGAGTTTATATCTCACAAATTTGAGATTATATCTCGCAATTCTGAGTTTATATCACACAATTCTGAGTCTATATCGCAATTCTGAGTTTATATCTCGCAATTCTGAGTCTATATCGCAATTCTGAGTTTATGTCTCGCAATTCTGAGTTTGTATCTCACAAATTTGAGTTTATATCTCGCAATTCTGAGTTTATATCTCGCAGTTCTGAGTTTATATCGCAATTCTGAGTTTCTCGCAATTCTGAGTTTATATCGCAATTCGGAGTTTATATCTTACAATTCTGAGTTTATATCTCGCAATTCAGAGTTTATATCGCAATTCTGAGTTTCTCGCAATTCGGAGTTTATATCGCAATTCGGAGTTTCTCGCAATTCGGAGTTTATATCTCACAATTCTGAGTTTATTTCGTACAATTCTGAGTTTATTTCATGCAATTCTGAGTTTATATCTCACATGAGTTTATATCATGTAATTCTGAGATTTTTTTTTTTTTTTCAGAATTGTGAGGGAAAAGTCTGAATATTGTTATAAAACTGACAGAAACTTAAAGCTGAGACTTTAATTCTTATCAAAATTAGAAAGTACGAAGCTTACTGTGATTATTGAATGGCAGGTGCTACAAATAATGTCTAGTGAACTTTTGTTCACACATCCACTGAAAACAGCATAAAATAAAAGACTTAAGAATTTAAGAATTGGTATTGAATTGATATCAAAATGAAGATTGATTTAACATGGGAAAACAATTTTTTCAACCCAAACCTAATTATCAGTATGAATTATAACATATACACTTCCAGTAAAAAGTTTTTGAACAGCAAGATGTTTAATGTTTTTTAAAGAAGTCTCTTCTGCTCACCAAGCCTGCATTTATTTGATCCAAAGTACAGCAAAAACAGTGACATTTTAAAATATTTTTACTATTTGAGATTTCAGGTTTCTTTGATGAATAGAAAGTTCAGAAGGACAGCATTTATCTGAAATAGAAATCTTTTGTAACATTATAAATTTATTTTTTCATCACTTTTGATCAATTTAAAGCATCACTGCTAAATAAAATATATAATTTCTTTCCCCCCCCCCAAAAAAAAAAAAATTATACTCCAAGCTTTTGAATGGTATAGTGTACAATTTTTTATGTTACAAAAGCTTTTTATTTCAGATAAATTCTGATATCCAGAGTTTATATCGCAATTCTGAGTTTCTCGCAATTCTGAGTTTATATCGCAATTCGGAGTTTATATCTTACAATTCTGAGTTTATATCTCGCAATTCAGAGTTTATATCGCAATTCTGAGTTTCTCGCAATTCGGAGTTTATATCGCAATTCGGAGTTTCTCGCAATTCGGAGTTTATATCTCACAATTCTGAGTTTATTTCGTACAATTCTGAGTTTATTTCATGCAATTCTTTCTTCCTGTACTTTGAATCAAATAAATGCAGGCTTGGTGAGCAGAAGAGACTTCCTTAAAAAACATTAAAAATCTTACTGTTCAAAAACTTTTGACTGGTAGTGTACATTTTTTATATTATTATTTTTTCAGTCTGTTTTTGCTCCAAAAACTAAACCCTGTAAGTTAGACACATCACACACACACAAATGCTCATTATGTACCTTGATGGACAGGAAGTTGAGCTGGCTCTCGTTGGCTAGCGCTTTAGCGATCATGGTTTTGGAGCATCCCGGGGCCAGCTTCACCTCCTCCATCCCACCGATGTCACTCCACCGAACCTAAACACACACACGTCTGTAATGCTGTTTGATTAATTTGCATTACAGGAACCAAATCTTGAGCTGTGATTGGTCCATCAATCTGTCAATCAGTCACTCTGAATGTTGATAATCAGTCTGTTAATCGCTGCATGTGAAGGTTTTCATTAGTTGTCTCTAAGGTAAACACCGCACCTTCGGGACGTCGATGGCCACCTCTCTCTAGGTTTGACCTCTGTCATGGCCAGCCTCAGGTCAGAGGTCGTGACCCTTACACTGTTCATCACCTGGACGTCAGAGAGAGCAGGTTTGGATCCTAAAACCCTCCTCAGTGCGTGAAGACCTGCAGAAACATAAAAAACCGACCATCACAGATCAATCTGAGCACATTCAGAAACATTTATATATTACCAGTCAAAAAGTTTGGAATTATTTAGTTTTTAATGTTTTTCAAGGAAGACTCTCCTGCTCACCAAGGCTGTGTTTATTTTAATAAAAATACAGAAAAAAATAAAAAATTGTGAAATATTATTACAATTTAAAATAACTGTTTTCTATGTGAATCTATGTTAAAATGTAATTTATTTCTGTGATCAAAGCTGTATTTTCAGCATCATTACTCCAGTCTTCAGTGTCACATGATCTTCAGAAATCATTCTAATATGCTGATTTGCTGCTCGAGAAACTTTCTGATTATTATCAATGTTGAACACAGTTGTGCTGCCCAATATTTTTGTGGAAACTATGATATGATATAGTATGATATACTACTATTCAAAAGTTTGTTGTAAGAAAAAAAAAAAGAAAACTTAATATTCAAGGATGCTTAAAGTTGATCAAAATTGCCAGTAAAGACCATTTCTAACGTTACAAAAGATTTCCATTCCAAATAAATTCAGTTCTTTTGAACTTTCTATTCATCTGTGAATCCTGAAAAATAAAATCCATCACGGTTTCCACGGTTTTCCTTTTAAATTGCAAATACTTTTCAGAATTTTTACTGTATTTTTGATCAAAGAAGAGTGTTCTTTTTATTATTCCACACTTTTGACTAGTGGTGCATTTCTCTAGTTTCTTCTAGTTGGTCATTTTGGACTCTGAAAGCAGAAAAGCACAGCATTAACAGGCAAAAACTGTTGAATTCATGATGTAAACAGATCTGATTGGAGAACTGAGAGCTAAACAGGATGATAGAATCGCTGTAACACAAGCACCAGCTCTCTCTCAGATAATAAGACACAGCTGAATCCAGCCAGAGACGCAGTCTAATCTCTGTTTGAGCTGATTTATTTGAGAGCTTTCCTCCGCTCTGAGACAGAGTAAACATCCGCCGCGCTGATCGGATGTGAATCAAGCCTGACCTGCTGCTCTCTGGAGATGACGACAGGACTCACAAATACCAGCCAAAGACAGAAACCAGAGAGACTCTGCCTACAATTAACACGGTTAAAAAAAAACGTTAAAAAAAACGTAATTTTATCGTCCCACTTAATATCGGAATTTGCAGTCAACCAATCATGAATTTAATTACACTGCAAAAAAAAAGATTTTCTTCCTTAGTATTTTTGTCTTGTTTTCTAGTATAGATATCTACGAATTCTTGAATCAGGATGCATTTACTGATGCATGACAAGTAAAATGACAAGATATTATGTCTTGTTTTCTGAAAATATTATCCAAATTTTGTTTTTGCTTAAAACAAGTAAAAATAGCTGTCAATGGGGTAAGAAAAATAATCTTGTTTAGCCTTCGAATTAAGATTATTTTTCTTAACTGAATGTAATAATAAAATGTGACGTATGGCCTACTGATTTAGGCTATGTTTTTTCCTCTCAAAATGCAATTTTATACTAGTAGCATTTTTTTAACCATGCAGCAAACATTTTTAAACATCTTGAAAAATACTTTAATACTTTGAAGTGTTGACAGTTTTTTTCTTTCGTTTAATACATTTGGCCAAAATCTAGAAAAGATGGTACTATGTTGTCTACGACTAAGCGCAAGATCAAGACTCTGTTTTTGTTTTTCTTTTTGAGTAAAGGATGTACTTTATTATTCTTATTCTTATTATAGGCAAAGAAAAAGTTTTAAAAGTAACGTTATTAACCAGTATTTTTTCTACTCAAACCGGTTTCGGAACGGTAATAATAAATACATTTATTATTCATTATTTTAATCCACAATTAATTCAAATACATTATTGTAGAGGACAAATAATAAATATCTGAACAGTCAAAATTGTCTTTAAAAGTGACTTATTTGATATCATTGATCATCAATGGTGTTTTATTATCAATGATACTATTATAGTTTGTATTCATATATTGAATTAGTTTTCATTTTTATGTATGTATGTGTATGTTTATGTATACACACACACACACACACATTATATGATGCATGGAATATTTTATATAACATAAATACATTTATACCATTGTATATGTAGTACATAATGTGCACATTCATATCTAGATGTAAATTACATACATTTTTCTTCTAGCTTTTTTTCTTATTTCTCCTTAACTGTTCTTTTTATTCATCATGGAGAAAATTAAGTCATCATACATTTATTCTCACTAATATGCAAGTTGAAAAGCATTACGTTGCTTAAGTAAAAAGGCTTCTGAATGTTTTTTTGTGAATTGTGCTTGTGATGATATTTAAATTTAAAGGCCGGAAACAGACAAAACATAAAGCATCATTGAAACGTGACGTTCTGCATTTGACTGAAGAAAGAAAGAAGGAAATGAAGCACAGAAGAACAGCAGAGAAAATGGGCAAAGCTGGGATGTTTTTAGATCTTTCTCGTTCCTGTATTCACAAGTTCATAATCCATAATAACTCTTCCTCCACTGAAAAAGTGCATCTGCTGTTGTCTCTCACATCCAGCCACATGCTGCCCACATATTAGTTTAGATCTGTTTAAACGCTGCTTGATCTGTGCACGTTTCTCTCCTGATTCACACCAGAACACTTTTTCACTGGAGGAAGAGTTATTATGGATTATGGACTTAACTTAAGAGTTAAAAACATCTTAATGCTGGATTAGTTTCAGCTTTTGTCTTCTCCAGATGTTAACTGATGGACTGGAGTGCTGTGGATTATTGTGATGTTTTTATCAGCTGTTTGGACTCTCATTCTGACGGCACCCATTCACTGCAGAGCATCCATTGCTGAGACACTGATGCAATGCTACATTTCTACAAATCTGACGAAGAAACAAACTCATCCTGATCGGGGATGAACTGAGGAGCACAAAGTATTTTCATTTTTGGATGAACTATTCCTTTAATATAGGGCTGATAGATGGATAAATATATCACTAAGATTTACCAGTGTGAAGTTTTGAAGTAAGAATGTAAGAAAGTGTTTTTTGGGAGTATTTTCGTGAATCCGGCCCCTGGCGCTGAGGATGCAGTGGATTTGGTCAGGTGGAGTGTTTCAGTGTGTTTCTCTGCAGCAGGTCATTCAGAGGAAACTGCGCATTATTGATCAGACACTGACTGGAGATCAGTTTCAGTGAATGAGGGAGATTTGAGCTCTGAGTGACTGCATGCTGAGCACAGAGAAACATCACACACACACACATCTCTCTCTCTCTCTCTCTCTCTCTCTGTGTGTGTGTGTGTGTGTGTGTCCACAGGAAGTGCTGTTGTCTGCATGCATACAGGTCATTGTGACCTTAAAGACACATTCAACCTCGAGAATAAGAGGTGAAACACAAACATCTGCAGCAGAGAGTGAATGAAAGGATGAACCAGGAGGAGAAGAATGAACTGAAGGGATAAAGTTCAAAAATTTGGGATCAGTAGAAATTAATGTTTTTTTATTCATCAAGGTTGCATCAAATTGATTAAAAGTGACAGTAAAGACATTTATAATGTTACACAAGATTTCTATTTCAAATAAATGCTGTTCTTTTGAACTTTCTATTCATCTGTGAATCCTGAAAAATAAAATGTATCACAGTTTCCACAAAAATATTGTGCAGCACAACTGTTTTCAACATTGATAATAATCAGAAATGTTTCTTGAGCAGCAAATCAGCATATTAGAATGATTTCTGAAGATCATGTGACACTGAAGACTGGAGTAATGATGCTGAAAATACAGCTTTGATCACAGAAATAAATTACAGTTTAACAGATATTCACATAGAAAACAGCTATTTTAAATTATAATAATATTTCACAATTTTTACTGTATTTTTGATCAAATAAATGCAGCTTAAAGCCCCATTCACACCAACTGTTATTGTTCTTGGTGTGACCGGCATTAATGCAACTAGTTGAACACATTAATCACATCATATATCAATACGGCTATAAAATAATCATAATAATAATAATTGTATTTTACATTAAAACTAAAATTACAGTACTAAAATTTTGACAATCTGAATTTCTTCATGAAACACACAGCACATATATTTATTTATTTAATTAAATTGCAATGATTGAATTAAATAAATATATTTAAAATCTCAATATATTAAAATACACAAAAGCCATATTGTGATTTCAAGTTTATTTCTATTAATTGTGTAGCTCTATCACCTAGATTACTTTTAATTTTCCTTTCATTTCTCTTTTTCCCCATTCTATTCATAATCCATGCATTTGTGCGTCAACACTTCAGAATGAAATCCACACATATTGAGTGCACACACTGCAAAAAATGCTTTTCTAACTTGTTTCCAGCCAAAATATCAGCCTTAAATCAAGAAGGATTTTCTAGACAAGTAAAAATTATTGTCTTGCTTTCAGAAAAAAAACAAGTCCAAATTAAGTGAGTTTTTGCTTAGAACAAGCAAAATAATCTTGTTTTCTGTTTGAAATCCCCAAGAAAATCCTTCTTGATTTAAGAATTTTTAGATATTTTGGCTGGAAACAAGACAAAAAAAGTCTAAGTAAGAAAAGCATTTTTTGCAGTGCAGATGTCAAAGGTCAAGCACAGCACCAGCATAATCATAA